GGGAATCCCCTCTTAGCCTGTTGGTCTGATTTGTTCAGAAGGAGCCCATCACTTTAATACTGTTTCCATAGCAACTTGGAGCCCATCACTCCTGTGGAGAAGGCAGAGATAGAGAAGGTATTGCACATTCTGAAGGGTAGTTGTCACAGCAGAATGCCCAAGGGCCCTCTCAGGGACAGTTGACCACAGCCCTGGCCCTGGGACCCTGCCTGTAAGGTTTGGGGTGGTTCGTGGTTTGGCTTGGGGATTGAGTTGGGTTGGGTTGAGTTTATTTACTCTGAAAGCTAAGTTCCATGAAGGCAGGGACGTTGGACAGTTTTGATGACTGCTGTATCCCCAGAACCTAGTACATGGACACTCTACAGATATTTGTTGAAAGAATGAAAGGGTCATTGGGGAAGCTAATCAACCTGAACAGACTGAAGACTAAGAGAAGCTGTGATTCATGGTTGTGAAGTCCTTTTCCTTTTTGTCCAACACCAAAGCTCACACGTTTAGAGAAGTCTGGCCCCTTCGAAGTAACGATGATAACCACACCCTCCCCACCAGGAGCTGCAGATAACATCATGTCTTCACAGCACCCCTCTGGGACAGGCATCAGTGCTGTCTTTTCTGTACAGATGAGGAAGCTGAGGCTCAGGGAGGTTAAGTTGCCCCAGGTACAACAGCCAGAAAGTACCCGCCTGGATTCCGACTCCCAAGTTTCAGAGCCAGATCCTGAACTCGGGTGTCTAACCACAGAGATGGGCTCGACCCCTCTATTCTACTGCAGCTCAAGCTGGGAAACCCCACCCACAGCCTGCAGATCTTTCTAGAAAGGCCTTCGGAACCCGCAAATGAGACACTCAAGAAGACCAAACACACTTCACTTCTCCAGCTTGATGCACTTGGCAACATATACTATGGCCTTGTTTTTTTTCTCTTTTTAAACTCAAGCCAGTCCTCCAAGAACAAAGACAAGCTACCAATGAATGCACTCCAAGGAAAGTGCTAGAAGCACTAAAGAGTTCCCAAGCAGCTTTGGACAATGGGATCAATGGGATGATTGTCCCGTGTCCTCAGAGGGCTGCTTTGAAGGCAGACGTGCTTATTCAAAAAGTAGCACATTGTTCTAGTTAAATACACGGGCCTTGGAGCCAGCAGTCCTGGGTTTGAATCTCAGCTCTGCCCCATAGTGGCTCTCTGATGGGGGGAGTCCTTCGGGCTCTCTGGGCTTCCCAGCCCTTCATCTACGTAATGCAAACCAAACCCAAACCCACTGCCATAGAGTGGATTCCAACTCGTAGCAACCCCATAGGGTTTCCAAGGCTATAAATCTCTACCGAAGCAGACTGCCACATCTTTCTCCACTGACCTTTTGGTTAGCAGCCCACCGCTTTAACCACTGCACGACCAGGGGTCCCCACACAATGCAGGTAGTAGAGTTTATCTCAAAGGGGTGTTGTAAGGAGTAAATTAAATGTGCTCCCACCTCCCCGGAGTCAGGGATCAGAGTGGTATTCGTGCCTTAGCGGCTAGTGAGGCCTGGGTGTCACCGTCTGCGGAGGACAGAGGAAGAGGCAGACAGTAGCTTCTCCTTGACACTTATTCTTTGAGCCCATACTCTGACCCGTGCCAGGGACAGAGGTGACCAGGACATGGCCCTGCTCCCAGGAGTTCCCGTGGGCTGGAGGGGACGGACTCGGAGCCAGAGCAGCTGGCATCTCTTTGATGCCCTTGTTATAAACGCAGATGAGTAAACCCTGCTGCTACTCACTCGCCCGTATGAGACACAGCTCCACAAATCAGTGTTGTGAATTTCGGGCATCCACCCTGTGCCTTTCAACGTGGGCCTTACAGTAAATGCTGCTGCTAGCTTTCCTGCTATGACATTTGTCCCTTTGGATCAGCAGCCACACAGGCCTGGGTCCCCTGGTTTCAACTGCTCAAGAGAAAATGACTGCCTGTCTTTTTGAGGTGCCCCCACCCCAGATCTTCTAAGTGAATTTTGCATCTGCCGCCTGGCTTATGTTCTAAGTCAGACCACCCAAAACTCACTCGCCGGAAAATCTGCCCAGCTGTTTTCCTGTGACATGGTAAGAAACAAAAAGTCAATCTTACTTATAAACAAACACATAGGATATGACGTGAGAGAGGACGTAATAGGGCTGTGGGTGCCTGGCTGGAGATGCACACAGGAGGGAGGGGCTCCCTCTTGCTGAGAGGGCCCAAGGCGGGGAGTCGGGGGTTCCAGACAGAGGTAAGGGCCCACTCAAACGCTGGAGGTTTAAAGAGCCTGTGGCTTGTTTGATGGAGCTTCTGAAAATGCGGTACGGTTGCATCCCAACGTCATTTTCAAAGTACAAGTCCAAGTTTGCTAGGAAAAAGTATTTATTTACCGCACAAATCTCAGTAGCAAAGAAATTCCATGCCACCAGGCACACATTGTCTAATCGATAGTTCTTTGTGATAGCAGGGATGGCCCTTTTAAGTCCATTATAATGGAATTAAGCCTGTATTAAAAAGTAAGAAGAAAATAAACAGGACAGATCAGAGTTTACGAAATTTTACTGAGCTGTCAATTACAATAGCAAACACTTACTGAGCCCTTGCTGGGAGAACAACCAAACCAAACCCGTTGCTGTCAGCTGTCAAGTCAATTCCAACTCATAGCTCTCGTATAGGACGGGGGTAGAACTGCCCCATAAGGTTTCCAAGGAGAGGCTGCTGGATTCCAACTGCTACCTTTTGTTTAGCAGCTGAGCTCTTAACCACTGCGCCACCAGGGCTCCCAGGAACCACTTAATCCTCCCATTCCTAGGAGTCCCTGGGTGGTGCAAACAGTTAACACACCTGGCTGCAAACCAAAAGGTGATAGATAGGCTGGAGTCCACCCAGAGGCACCTCAGAAGAAAGGCCTGGTGATCTACTTCTGAAGATCAGCCATGGCAAGCACGATGGAGCACAGTTCTCCTCTGATGCACGCGGGGTCACCATGAGTCGGAGTCGGCAACTGGTTATCCTGGGAGCTCACCTGTGGGGCAGTGGTTGTGGAATGGCCCTTTTCAGAAAACGACGACAAGATAGAGTGAGGTTACGCTAGTGCTCGTCAGGGAGAGCCCTGACACGGAGCCCAGCCCCCGTCCTACACCTGCCCCTACACGCTTACACCTGGGGGCCTCCTGGGGGGAGTAGGCGCTGGTTTTGCTGTCTGTGGAACTCCATCATTCCTTTCTTGCTGCATTCATTCAGCACTACTGGCGAAGAACAGAAAAGCAAAAGGGCGTCTGTTGCCCCCTCTTTGTTTTCGTCTTTACTCCCGGGTCCTCCTCCCGCTGGCCCCCTCCCCTTTCCGATCACCAGGCTGGAGTCTGAGCTCCCCTGCTGCAGACCCCCGATAATTGTTGAGTGAGTGGCTTTGAGGGGCTGTTAAGAGTCTGGGGAGCAGGAGCAGCTGCCTGATGGCTTGGGGGCCTGCAGGCCTGCTGTGAAAGGCCCCCTTTGTGCGGGCCAGTTACAGGGAAGCTGCATTCAATTACCGAGGGCCGCTCGAGAGTTGAAAGCTGGAATAGGGCCCCTGGTCTCCCCTCGCTTGCTTTCTTCTCTTCTCACCCCACCCCCACCTCGAAAAGAAACAGATGTTCGTGGAGATGGAGGCGGGCACAGCCGTGGCTGAGGCAGAGACCCCCTCCTTGGGCTTTGGAGCGCGGGGGAGGGGGCAGACCAGACGCCTCCCGCCCTGCCCCTCGCAAGGGCAAGGCGCTGGCTTTATGTGACTCCCAGCTCTGCCTTTCTTGCTTGCCCCTCCCCATCGCTGTATGAGATGCTGCCCACAGAATACGTGGCACGAGCGGTAGGTGCCCAGCAAATGGTAGCTTGTGGGGTGGTGAGGATCTGGACTAATGGGCTTTGGGATCTGGGCCCCCAGGAGGGCTGAGAGGCCTGCTCCCAACCTGCCCCCAAACTAGTCACACCCTCCGCCCCAGCCTGTGTGTGTATGTGTGGAGGGTGATGGGGGCGTCCATTTGAACTTTCTTCTCCCTTCCCAGCTGCCAAGCACTGAGCCAGCCTCCCTCCTTCCTGGCCCCCCTCATGCCCCCCCCAGTCTCCCAGGGCTCTTTGAGGCCTCCCCCTCCATCTCTGTCCCTCCCTGCAAGGCCAAGGCCCACCTTCCGACTCACCCTAACACTGCCTTTCACAGCGCTCTCATACCTAGCTCGTTCTACCCTGTGAGGTGCAGGGGCAGGGCATGGCCCCATTTTACAGACAAGGATACTGAGGCTGAGGGAGGGTAAGGCCCAGAGTTGGAACTTGAACTCAGTTCTTGCCCCCTTCACCAGCCCACAGCCACCTCTGACCCTAAGACTCATCATCTCTGGGCTGGGCCCCCCTGTGATCTCAGGGTCCTCTCCAAGGCAGGGGGCTTGGAGCTAGCTGCAGTTCTGGACCCTCTGGGGACGATGTTAGGTTCTTGGTGCCGAGCTAGAGTGGACCCCTCACACCGCTGTTCTCCAGCAGCCACAGAAAGCAGCTGCTCAAGCCAATTAGAGGAGGCTTACAGAGAGACCCAGCCTGTCGGGGAAACTGGGACACCCCCCTTTTTTCATCTCTCCCCCTCACTGCTCCTGGACAGAGGGACTCTGCCCCCCCCCCTCATGTCACCCACACAGCTCACTCAGACCTTGCCTGCCCTGGGCCAGCCCCACCTCAGCCCCGAGCATCAGGTGTCCAACCCTCCACCCAGCCCCCTCCCTACCCTTGGCATATGGTGTCTCCGCCAGGATCCCCCTTTGTTCCCTCCCGGCAGCTGGGCAGCAGGCAAAGAAGGGGGTTTGTATTGTGCTGTGTTCCATCATGGGGAGGCAGGCGGGGGCGGGCAGTGGGCGGGACAGAGCTTTCCCTTGGTCCTGAGCAGCACTAGAAGATTGAGGTCCTGGGGGGGTGGGCTTGCTGGGGGAGGTGGTGGGTGGTGAGGGGAGTGGCTGGGATGGTGCGGGGTAAGGAGAGGCGGGGAGGGACCAGAGAACCTAAATTAGCAGATTGGCTGCTGGGGCGGGCTATTTAATCCACACTGGAAGCACGGGGTTCTCATTAGCACCTTGTGACCCCCAGCCTTCGTGGGCTTTAGAGAATCACCCCGCTCTGGGTTCAGGCCTCAACTCAGTCATTTGCTTGGGCAAAACCTTCACTTTCTCTGCGCTTGTTTTCTCGTCTGCAAGCTGGGAATGACAGTAGTAGCTACAGCACTGTGATGTGAAAATTAAATACAGTGATGGCAGTAAAACTTCGCCGTCTGGCTGGGTGCTTGGGTGGCTGGTATCGCTACAGTTCTCTAAATCGTAGCTGTTTTTTCTTGAGGGTCTAGGTGGTATAAAGCACTTGGAGTTCCTGAGAACAAGTTGCACATGACGTTTCCCATAGCTGGGACCCTTTGGGCCAAGTCAGTTCCCCATTTTCTCTACCCGTAAAGCAGGACACAAGGAGCGCTCGGCTACTAACCAAAGGTTGGTGGTTCAAGCCCACCCAGCAGCTCCAAGGCAGAAAGACCTGGCACTCTGCTCCTGTAACGATTCCAGCCTAGAACACCCTGTGGGGCAGCTCTACTCTGTCACATGGGGTCGCTGTGAGTCGAAAATCGACTCAACAGCACCTAACAATAGCAACAAAAGCAAGACACAGCTGATAGTCCCCAGCTCAGTTTGTACTGGGGTAGTTGGAGATTCTTGCCGCAGCTTTTTGCTGAAGTGTGTATTACTCAGGTTGGGATAATCAGTTTATTGTCCCTGAGCATGTGTTAGCTGGAGGAGGGGTGAGGGGGCAGCGTGAGGTCTTCAGAGCTGCATTTCTTTGCGAGTGTACTAAAATCAGCGTGCCTCTCTTCCAGAGAGTTCCAAGAGCCTTCCCATCTGTTGTCTTATTCCTTCTCAAGACATTCCTGAGAGCTTGGAGGGCAGAAGGGGGGAGAACCGCATGATATTTTTAGCTCCACGCTTCAGATCCCAGCCCTGTTTTGCAAGACACCCTAGATTGACTATTGTCTCTACTGATTTCCCCAATAAGCAGACGAAGTGTGCGCCAGAGCATCCCAAAATGTTAAGAATCATTTGGTATTTCATATTTCCAAAACAGCTTCAAAGTAGGCATCATATGAAAATTCAGACTTTTGTTGGGTTTTTTGAGTTGGGTTTTTCTCACACTTATTATTTAATTTGCAATTGTCTTTATGTTGCACTTACTCTTTTTAAGTGTGGTAAATAGCTAGGTCACAAACATTTGTTATTTCAGCCATCTTCACAGGTACAGTTCACTGACCTGAAATACATCATGTTCAGCCATCACCATTAACCATTCCCAGTTGTTTCCGTCACCCTTAGCAGAAGCTTGGAGCCCTAGTGGCTCAGTGGTGAAAAGCTCAGCTGCTAACCAAGAGGTCAGCAGTTCAAATCCACCAGCCGCTCCTTGGAAACCCTATGGGGCAGTTCTGCTCTGTCCTACAGGGTCGCTATGAGTCGGAATCAACTCAGTGGTAACTAGTTTTGGGGTTTTTTTATTTGTTTGTTTTGTTTTTTTGTTTTAGCAGAAGCTCAGCATCCCCTATTGGCTTTTTTTTTGTAAAATAATTTATTTGTTATTGTTGAGAATATACAAAGCAAAACATACACCAATTCAACAGTTTCTACATGTCCAATTTGTGCTTTTTAACTTAGTATTGCTTTTGTTTTGGACTACACTGGAGTGGGCATCAGCATTGTTTTGGCATCCGGAGCCTCTGAGGGTCGACGTCTGGCTCTGGCTTTGTGCTCAGTCACGCGGTAAACCAGAGGCTCGACCAAGATGAGAACCTGGGTCTTCTGCATCTTCACATGAGTGTCTCCCGGCTCTGTGTCAGGCACTCTACAGTTGTTGTTGTCCTTAGGTGCCACTGAGTCCATTTTCGACTCATAGCGACCGCATGTGGCAGAGCAGAACTGCCCCATACGTTTCCTAGGCTGTAATCTTTATGGGAGCAGATTGCCAGGTCTTTCTTCCTCAGGGCAGCTGGGTAGAATCGAACCACTGACCTTTCGGTTAACAACTGAGCACTTAACCATTGTACCAAGGCTCCTTAGGCACTATACTAGACACGTCATATCCACAACCAGAAAGTGGGTATAAGAAGGCATTGCACCCACGTGGCAGGAAGGGCCCTGAGTGCCCAGCTATCCAGGGCTTAGAAGTGGCCCAGCCAGGACTCAGCCCCACGCTGTGTGCCTTCCGGCCTCCATCCTGAATAACCTGTTGTCACCTCCACTGACACCCTGATCCTCTGTCCTCCCAGGGAAGCGACAGCGAGTATGAAGCGGACCCGAACCACCAGAAGGCCCACTCCTTTGTCAACCACTACATCAGCGACCCCACCTACTATAACTCCTGGCGGCGGCAGCAGAAAGGCATCTCCCGGGCCCAAGCGTACAGCTACACGGAGAGCGACTCAGGCGAGCCGGACCACACCACCCTTGCCAACAGCAACAGCACCCAGCAGGGCAGTCTCTTCCGGCCCAAGGCCAGTCGGACTCCAACGCCCCAGAACCCCCCTAACCCCCCGAGTCAGCAGAGCACCCTCTACCGACCCCCCAGCAGCCTCGCCCCTGGCTCCCGGGCCCCTATAGCAGGATTTTCTTCATTCGTGTGACATTGGAAGAGGAAAAAGAAAGAGAAACGGTACCAAACTCCCCTCCGCCCCTCCGCCCCACACCGCCTGCCAGAAAACAAAAACACCAAGAAACCAGGTCAGCTGTTCACCTCCCAAATTTATTTTTCCAGCGATTCCAGGGCCAGCAAAGCCAGTATTGAGAAGGACGGAGCAGAGAAACGTGGCTGGGAAGGGTGTGTGGCTGACAAGCGGTCTACTTGAGGATTGTAGGGTTCGCTGCTGCTTTGGGAACTGCGCCGGGGTAGGAAGCTTGCTACGGAGTGGGTGGGGCCCCTGCAGAGAAGGCCAAGGACTGGGTGGCTGTAGGCAGGCCTGGCTGAGGGAGGAAGAAGCTTCTGGAAGTCCAGCCAGCTGCCCTTTCTAGCAGGTGTGTGGAGTTCTGAGCCCACAGCTGAAGCTACTCAGTAAGGTTGGGCAGCCAAAGCTCCCGCTTCTCTCTGCACCTTCCCTGCTCCACCCGCTCACTGGTGCCCTTATTGGCTTCGCCCTCCCCTGCCCTACCCTCTCAACCTCCCTTGCTCACCTCCCTCAGTTTTTGGCTCAGCTTCTCCGCCCAGCGTTTGGTTCATTTAGAAAAAGGAAAAACCGAAGTGTGAGAACTAGCTTTGCTCCTAGTCTATTTTTTTATTGTGAAACCAAGAAAAAGAACCTCCAGGGTGCGGGAGAGCACCCCGCAACGGAGCCTGCCCACAGTTGAATTCACCTTCCTGAGCACAGACCGGGGAGATGCAGTCTGAGGCATGGGGGGTCTATGGCGAGTGGACTGGGGCAGAATGGGGGTCATTGCGGGATGGTCAGAATGCAGCTTTGACTTTTTCTTCCACTCCAGGGACCCTGTGCCCCCTCTTTCCAGGAGGAGGGAAATGGCACTGCTAGAACCAGAACCAGCTTGCTGGGGTTGGGGAGCCAAGCAGGGGTGAGGGCTCACCACCTGGGCAGATAGACACCCACCCTGCCCTAGGTAGACACCTTCCTCCTGTGTGCAGTGGGCCAGCTGGGGTGCCCGGGGGCCCAGACAGTCCAGGGAACGGCATGGAAAGGCTCACATGCACACACACCTGGGCACACACAGTCCCCGTGCGCATGCAAGGAGAAGGGTCTAGAGATCCTCTCCAGAAGAAATCATGTCAGGACCTCCCAGCCAGACAGCACAGTCCCATTCAGATCTGTGTCCTCATGCTCTCAGCCCCCAGGTCTGCATGTCTAAAACACCCTCTGCCTCCTAAGCACAGTGGCAGAGGAGTGCCGCAAAATCTTGATCCAGAGCCTGGAGCACCCAGAGTTTTCCTCATCTGCCCA